AGTAGGCAGAGATGCAAAAAGGCAATTGTTTGCATTTTTTGAATTATTTATAAAAACATAACAAAACGAACAGCAATTTATTTAGCCATAAAAACTACAACCTAATCTCCCTTCAATCACAGTGTCCAGCCCCGAATTATCTGCAACACGCTGTTTTTATAAGCTGCATAACACGTGACTACAGATCCGGGGGTACATTCCAACACACTCCCCCGGTTTGATTCTGAAGGAATTAAACTAATTTGATAATACATTTAAATTCAAATACAATTGTTATACCATTACGACTACAAGTGTCCATATACCAATTTCTGAACAAGTCAGGATCTGTATTTACGTATTAATTCACCAATAACCGCTGCGTTCCGTCTAGCTCTACCGGACTGTTGATTGTGAGCATGCGTTGTGATATTCTGCGCTTGCGCGTTAGTGCTTGGCGCTTGCGTCACAGTGGGACTAGCTTCAATTGATGAATGCTTATCAGGCGTGGACGTAGCTCTTATTTCTAGAGGAACTAACTGCTTCAAAGATCTTAAAAACAACTTCTTACTGCCATGCGATAAAACTGAAACTTGTGCTGATCTGACTGAGCCATCTCTACCTGTAACTAACTGTTCAACCTTACAAAGTTTCCAAAAGGCTCTCTTGACTTGAGAATTGCGTAATATACATATGTCATTGACCTTGATATCTGGATTAAACATAGAATCATCTGAGGGCCTATATTTTTCCATCAAACTAAGCAAATATTCATTTTTCCATCGATTGCAAAATTGCGATAATAATTGTCTGTGATATTTAGCCCGTCTTGATAAACCTTGGTACGTATTTATGATCTCAAAATGTGCATCATTCGGAGAGCTGTTCAAGTTTCTGCCATTTACTAACTGAGACGGTGTAAGAGGGTATGATATTCCGTCGCTATCATCTACAACGTATGTAATAGGACGAGAATTTATTACATTTTCAATTTCGATAATCAAGGTTGTTAACTCGTCGTATGAGACCAATGCTCGCCCAACAATTTTGATCAAACAGCGCTTGACAGACCGAATCATTCTCTCCCAAAACCCGCCCTGAAATGGTGAAAGTTCAGGGATAAATCTCCATTTAATGCCCTTTAGATTGAAATGTTCGGAAAGTCTTGGAGAGCGTAACAATTTCTTAATTTCCATAGAAACCGACCTAAATGTTTTAGCATTGTCCGTTATTATTGTGGCCGGTAATCCTCGACGCGCACAAAAACGTCGAAATGCCCGTATGAAATTTTCTACCGATAAAGACTCGACCATTTCTAGGTGAACAGCTCGGGTAGAGCCGCACGTAAATAAACATAAATAGGTTTTTACGACTTCACCTTTTTCTTTACCTACCACAAACAGGGGGCCCGCGAAATCTATACCTACGTGAGAAAATGGGGGTGCTTCGTCTACACGCATCCTTGGTAGATCTGGGTTATAAACTGTCTTGAACGGTAACCCCTCAATTTTCTTACAAACAATACAATGACGAAGACTTCGCTTAACTTGCTCTCTCCCCCGGAGTATCCAATACCGTTGCCTTATCAAACTCAAGGTATCAACAGTGCCATTATGAAATACCTTTTCGTGTGAATCTGAAATTATCAATTCGGTGTACCTATGTTTGGCCGGCAAAAGTATCGGCCGTTTACCCGTGTCCGGAACTATGGAATGCCCGATGCGTGACCTACAACGAACTATATTATGTTCATCCAGATGTAAATTGAACTGTTTAACATAGAGAGGAGTTTTCATCGTCTTTCTAATCGATTCCGTTTGAGATAAATAATGAAGATCATTAGCAAAGGCTTCTTTTTGGATGGATTGAATCAACATTGTCTCGGCTCTTACTACTTCAGAGACTGTCAAATTTTGTTCAAAATTCAAATTCGATTTTTTAACGGACGCCTTGCAATTGGAAACAAATCTTAACACCCAACCAACACATCTTAATAACTTATCCTTTTGACTAAACCGTTCCATTTCTACAATTTTATCAACACTCGTTGTCGGCTTATTACTTGTGATTACCATACTGTGCGTTATTTGTGGATCAGATTTCACCCTTTCCTTCATTGCAATTTCTGTTTCAAGGTCATTCGCACATGGAGATTTAGGCCATTCATGGGGTTGTGAGGTAAGGAATTCAGGACCTTCCCACCACAAAGAGTTTGACTCAATATCACGATACTTACCACGAGAAGGCAAATCAGCGGGGTTGAGGGGACCTGGGCAATAAAACCATTGTTCTCTATTTGAGTGTTGTAAAATTTCATTAACTCTACTACGCACGTACTGGACCCATGGTTTACAATTCTTTACCCAGCACAAAACAGCCATTGAATCCACCCAATAGTATTTTTCAATAATTTGCCTCTTAAATTCTTCTTGCATAACCCCGTAAATAGTTTCGACTAGCTTGACCATTAATACTGCCCCTAGAAGCTCTAACCGAGGAATACTCTGCTGTTTAATGGGCGCTACCTTCGACCTAGACGATAATAACCTGGTACTTATTTTGCCTGATTCGTATTCTACACGCAAATATATTGAAGTAGCGAAAGCAAATTCACTTGCATCAGAAAAACCATGCAACTCCATGCGCAGGATCTTCTCCCCTGTTAGAAAAGGATAACGTGGAACTTCGATGGAAGGGAAATTCTCAATCGCCTCGATTAAGGAAACATATTTTTTCCTGTTTTCTTCGTCCAGTTCATCGTCCCAAGCTAATTTCTTTAAGCAATAATGATTCGCCTGAAAACTCTGCCTTGGTAAATTTAGTTGTCAAAAAGGCTGCTTTAATTACCTTGGGGTCAGATAAAGATTTGTGGCTGCAAGTCTTCAGGAATAGACATGCGGATATAGGTTTTCAATAGGGGGGTTTTGTCATAAATCTCTTCTTCAACCCATTGATCAAAATTTATCAAACCTGTATTTTGTTTATGCGTCAATGACCGTGTTATCCTTAACCCTATACCTTAAACCTTAAGTTGATTCGTCCGTTTTTTACCGCCCATTAAACGTACTGTGACTAGATTGTTTGGTCATACTTCATGACATAGCGTGTTATCGATATACGCCAACATAAACGTTACAGTTTCGAGATGTTGCTTATTGTGTCCTGTGAGAGACATGTATTATCATTGGCTCTTGTTTCACTTTCGCAGATTAAACCCTGAAGCCATGATTTCCGGTATAGCCTTGTTATGTATATCATCAATGGCTACTCCGTAGAACTTCAAAAAAAATAAAAAAAAACAATAATGGTCTATAAATTGATCACGGTCACATGTTTTGAAAATTCTAGTTGATGACAATGGGGAATGCGAGAAATGCACAAGTCCAATCGAAAAATTGGAGAGTCGTGGTAGCAACTAGAATTGAATTGTGTCGAATAAACGTTTGATGGAGAAATCGGTCGCTATTTGACAAGGTCATTGATATTGCATGGAAGCAAAGACAGAATATGTGGGTTATTCGAAAGGGCCCCACAGATCAAAATGCTGTATGAAATAGCTACTACATCCATCTTTAAGAATGGCACCACATAGAAAATCGTCATCATAGAGATTATCTTAAATGTTTAAAGTTTGAGGATACTGAGACTAAATTGTGCCCGTGTAGTTTTATTGGTCTCGCCGTAAAAAATTGAGGGCTGATGTCAAAACCATAAAAACTTCCAACACTAAGCCAGCTACGGTCTATATAACTAATGGAGGGTTTTTACATTGTATCATCAGGTTATAGGTCCAATCGAATCCCATACGGTTTTTAACTGTCCAAATCAACTTGCGCGATTTTACTCGTTATCCGTACTCTTTTAGATTTGGCCACTAGGAGACAGCCTTATTTCTTCATTATATTACATGCCGTGGCAAACAGCGGTGCATCAATAAATTTCGGTCACTATATTATTAACTAAAGCGGCATGTGTTGACACTGTTCCGATTAAGTTATTCGATCAATTTTAAGCCGATAATTGAATTCTAGGACCTTGCGGAAACTCATCCCTGAATCAACTCGGTGCTGGCACCTTTAAGTAGTCTGCCTTTCATTTCTAACTACGAGTGACATAAAAAATTGGCTTTTACTGATTATTAATCATCAGGTGCGCACACGTCGTTTACTATATATTCTGAATAATAAGGTGACAATTGTTGTTCAACTACCTCATTGTACTGTTTAAGTATTTTAGGATTTTATACTGCCTTCAATTTAGTTATATAAAAGTGACAAAAAAGTCGCTTTTACTCAGAATCGTAATTCGTTTCTAACTTCTGTTTATCAATTTACTTCCAAGGAAGAGCTACTTCATAACGCCTGATTTTCCTTAAATCATAACTTCTGGTGCGGTTTGTTACACCTTCTTCGGGTTGAGATAATATACATTAGCAGGTTTATTCATTAGATCTATTCCATAAATTCGAATTCTAGTGACTTAAAGCTTGTTCAGAGGGCCTGAGGACAGGATCAATGCAACCATTTCTTGCGACGTCTTTACCATTCTTCCAAATGTGCCCCTCTCTACTATTCACGAGTTCACTCTATATTTCTTCCCTGAAGGTTTTGGCATTAACTAAAAAACATAATTCGCAAATATAGATTACGTTATTGGAGTACTTTTCCATTTACTTTTAGAAAATCCACTATATATCATT